TAGGCCCCCTGTCAGATTTCCCGGGCCAGCGCCCGAGATATCAGGTCGTTAGCCTCTACGTCAGTCACGCGGATAACGACACCAGGCTCGACAATTGACACAGACTCGTTACGCGTGGCGTGAAGCGCGTTTATGTGCAAGGTCACCACTCCCTGTGGTTAGACGCGCAAAATCGAACCCGTTCAAGCCAGAAATAGTATTGATATATTCACCAGAATACAAGATGAATGGAAATGTTAGGAAACTTTTTTCAGTTAAATTAGTCTTTAATGTTTCTTTCCCAACTATATACGATAATAGAACGTTTTTTTCTTCCAAGTTTTAGTGTATCACGTGCGCCATTTCACTACAGTAACATTACCTTGCAAAACATAGTCCGCGATAAAATGGTTCGTATTTGCGTTTTTACTGCGGTCTGACATTGTCACACGCAACGTAATATTACCGTAATTGGTATATGTAATGATTTGAGGCTATGACGTTTAGTTTAGTTATTTGCATAATGATTTTGATACATTGTATGGAACATCTCGTGAGTATTTACACTCAGTTCCAGGCCTAGCAGTTGAGCAATAAACACCTTGGCTACAAGTGCTCCTCTCCAGTGTGTTATTCTCCTCCCGGATCTGGTGACCAATACTCACTTGGTTCACTCTACCTTGAGAAGTCTGTTCTCAGTTTACAGTATAGTACAGGTGTGATGGTTCAAATACCAAAATGGCAACAGTAACAGAAAGACTTCCCTGGCGGCGATGATAACATACGAACACGGAGCCAACAGATGAGGTTTCAACTGGTACTGGTATTATTATACTCTGCAAACATCAAGTACAATAACGCGGTAAAACTCCACTACTCCAATAACTAGATACTTAAACTCCAATACAATTCAACGAGATCTCCGATCTGATCTCAGTGCTGAACAACTCCCCTATATATACCCACACTAAATAGACCATTACATCAGCATACATAATGAGTCTGGAACTTACTACAAATTTCTAGAATGTTCCATTACCTTCTATTGCCTTCTACAGTGTCCTACTATTAAATCGAAGAAATTGTTACGATGGAACAAACACATGTCGTCACCTCCGCATGGGACAGAACGCCATATCCAATCTCCTTCCCATAGGTCTTTGCGCTTTACGCAATACTACGTCTGCCATATACAGCTTACAATTTTTTGGTAAATCACCTCACTACGCACGGTAATTTTTTTCACTGTTGTTTCACCTGAGATCGAACCGCAAAGGTTGGAAATAATAATTTATTCTATGTTATGCAAAGTAGTGTTATTGTAATAAAATGGTGCATGTGAACATGGAGATAAAAGACTGTCTTTGGTTACGCATATAGTTGAAAAAAACAACATTAAACATCTGGCTTTAACGGGATCGATTCAACGTGTCTAGTCAGTTTATTAAGTTAGTCATTTAATAGCTTGACTGCCCTTTTCTTCCGCAATATCTGCTTACGTTATCCTGATTGACATTTCACGAGAATTCATGGTTGACTTGAACATAACTTTGTTAAAGCGCGGCTCCGCAATCCCAGGGATAGCACGAGTGCGTCATAGGAAACGTAATTTGCATGGTACGCCCAGTTGTTTAATTGGTAAAGATGTTAATTCTGTAAGCTAACATCATGCATTACGCTATCATCCGATTTGAAAGGACTTATTGAATCGCGTTCAACGCTCACGGGACCCACATTCATTTTAAAGCAATTTGCTTACTTGCACCATTGAGCTCCAAATTTAGTTCCGTACAACGAAAACTGTGGTTTATTTGAATGGCATACACAATGTATAGTATCGCATAGTACAACGTGCGTCTTTCCTGTCGGCTAGGCAATAATGACGTTATGCAACGTGAAAAAAGGCTCCAAAAAATTAAAACAACAAAAAACTTCGTGATACGGCTGTGTGGCACAGGCATACCCAGTTGTCGACGCCCAATATACACGAACATATGTGTGACTCATACGTCACAAAACACGGTGTTGACGAGGCCCGTCACATCCGCCAATAAACTACATGTAATCTTATAAATAAGCATCTACCCATGAGCCCTTGCGTATTTAGCGCACGTTGTTATCATCGCCGTTTATCAATATGCACCCGATCATCTAATTTAATACCTCGGTGGACGAGTGACAGCTGACCCATAGTTTACATGCGCATGCGCAGAAAGGTGGGAGAATACTAGTATGCATGTGCATATAAACTAAACAACATCATTTATTGCTCGCTGTAGTCGTTACTCAGTTCTGACACTCTGATACTAGCTCCCCAACAATAATATCACTAAAGAACTACAGAATAATATTTTGGTAAGTGGGATTTTTTTTTGGAACCTACACCACGCAGTATTTGTACAAATACACACACTGTCCCTTGTAGTGAGCGGTTCAGGGACCACATGTAAATATGTACCCATACACAGCATAGTAGCATGGCATTATTCATTTATTGTTTTTGACATCAATGATCGTCTGGTTGTGGTACAGTACTGTACCAGTATAGGTTTGCAATTTATAGTGAGAATCATACACTTTCATGGTTTTCTGTGCCTGGTCATTTAGTATTTCGACCCACATTGAAATCCACCTAACTATATTGGGTTAAAGGATTACGTCATATTTTCATTGTGTAGTCTTATGCACACCTCTGATCGAATCCTGTAATTTCATTTTTACAGTACTATTAAATCGAAGAAATTGTTACGATGGAACAAACACATGCAAGTACATCAGCTGCTGTCCCTCGAGAAAGTCGGTCAATATTCATATGCAGCCATGACCATTCACAGTGCTATCATGCACAAGCCGGTTCAGCGAAAATCGATTCTGATGTATGGCCCGACAGCGATTCACCAAACATCAGTTGTAGCAGTGATCCCGGCAGACCATCTTGGACAGACATGGTTGAGGAGCAAGAACTGATGGAATATTTGAACCTAAAGAAAGCCGAAGTCACCAAAAATAAAGATATTCAATTACGTGGTAAGTATGGTAGGTTTTGGAATCAACCCAACTAGGGAATATTTGCTACGTTCACGCGGCAGCATTTATAGTGGGGCCAAACTACTGCAACATGAGATTATCTCCAATGCGTTTACACGTTCGGAGCTGGGCGACGAAAATAAACAGTCATAAGTCTAGACAATGCACTGGTGTTATGATTTAGGTATCTCGAATAAACAGGATACACAGCAGCTAAAATACGCTGAATGTGTTACAGCCTATTATCATGGAAAATTACCATCTTGCAATTGTTCAACTGTTATATCATATATGGTTATATGTACCCAGGCCTGAAACGGTCATTGTATTAGGTTTGAATTGGCGGACATGAACATGGACGGACATGGACCACATCCAAATTGGCTTCCTTCCCTGGCAAAGGCGCTAAGCATTGTCACGTGATAGTACACAGTCATGTGTTTTTCACAACTTAGTTTCAGAATTCGAGCTTTTTCACGTAATTTTTTAATCAGGTTATCTGTATACGTAAGAACATATTTTAGCTGGCGAGTAGTTCTTTAAATTATCCATTTTCATATATATTTACCCAGAAATGTTTCGTGTTTGACTTTTGGGGTGAATGAAATGAACTCTATTTTATTTACCCTTCTCGGCGCGAAACCAATATTTGTTTTCGATTTTGACATTTTATGATCAAAACATATCATTAAAATGTGCAGGCTAATTTTTTATTTGTCATACTGCATTTTAAATTGGGCGATTTTTATGGATGCTCTTTTCGATCGTAAATGCAAATGGAAACGTTTTGAAATGACAATATACGATATCCAGTGCTAAAAAAAATTATTTATATACAAAAATTGAAACATTGTTTTATATTGGTGTTTCATTAGTTTTTGTATAGTTGACTAGAATTGTTATGAACCTCCAAGAATAAGAAATAAAGTATTACAGGTTTTTTGATCGACCACGTTAACATAAACGACGCCATTTTGACGAGATTTGTTTGGCGATGTCAGCATGTTCGTACGCGCTATTTTGTCCCTATAAAAAACTAGAAGATGAACATAATTCCCGATATTAACCTTTTTATGGCAGGATCTGAATGTTTATGAGTTGGTAGGCTAGTTTTGATGCGTATCAGGGCTTAAAGGAAACATCAATCTAAGCAACATAATGACCCCTGAAGGAAAAGGTCCACACATGTAGGAGAATGCAATTTACAGTTTTTTTATATCACTTTCCATTCTCTAGATATTTAACTTTATATCATTACTATGTAGTCAGCCATCTTGATTCTCAAGCAAAGGATTATGGGTAAAGTATGACATCATAGAATCTGTTATCAAAAATTGAGAAAATTATTTCATCTATAACATGTGAAATACTGATGTGAATTAGTTCAAATTATCGTTGTGCATATTACTCATGTATATAATTATAGTAGTGGAAATTAGAATATTACAAATACACATGAAGTGAAGATATTGCTAAAAACGTTAAAAAAATAAAAATCGATATTTAAGTCGTGAAATATAAAATGACACTTTTGTGTCTCCATTTTTTGGTCAACATGTGAT